GTAGGCATCAATGCCACAGTCGCCTAGTTTTTTAATGAGGATGGGGTGGGAAACGGTGTCAAAGGCCTTGCTGAAGTCCAGAAAGACTATGTCCACGGTGACACCTGCATCCAATGCTTTTGTGATCTGATCATAAAAGGCAATAAGGTTGGTCTGACATGACCTGCCCCTAATGAAACCATGCTGGTTGCCCTTAAGCATCATCCCTGAAGCCAGCCCATTGCAGATGTGCGCCTTGATAGTCTTCTCAAAGAGTTTCCCTAGGATTGAGATAAGACTGACGGGCCTATAGTTGCCCGGGTCCTCCCTCCTTCCTTTTTTCAAGATGGGGACCACGTTGGCTATCTTCCAATCATCTGGCACCTGGCCCGAGCACCACGAGCGCTCATAAAGCCGTGCCAAGGGCCCTGCAATAACCCCTGCTAGCTCCCTCAACACCCAGGGATGGAGAGCATCTGGACCCGCTGGTTTGAACACGTCCAGCCCCTCCAGAAGCTCTCCAACATAAGACTAGCTATGGCGAGAATGGGCCTGGGTCAGGCCCGAGTAGAATAGAATTGCTTTTCCAAGGGAATTCTTTTTGGATGAGCAATCATATAAGCTTAGACTTCGAGGAGGTGGTGCAGAATGATCTGGACCTAGAGGCTCAATCACCTAGGATTTTAAGCTTGTCTTTTAACAGAAGATTTTTACCATCTCTTCTATAAAACTGTTTTATAATACAATTCACTATACATTTTACCTTGTATTAGTCATGAACTTAACAGGGTTTTCGTGATACCTAATTATTTTAAACAGTTGTAATAGTCTCCTTAGGTAGAAGTACTTAGATGCAAGTACTATTTACTATTATATTTTCATTAATTTTAAATCTCAGGGGGAGGGGGTTAATATCAGTCTGATTTGTCCAGTGCATTTTCTTTTGTACAGACACAAACTAAGTCCAATTTTAGTTGTTGGTGTACTTCAATAAACATGCTGAAAAATTGCTTCAGAATCTACGAAAATGTTAGAATAATAGCTATTTTTAGTAGTGAAATTCCTACAGTTTATCTCAGGAAAAAAGGTATAATTTCCTCAGTGTTTTTCCTTTGGGTTACAGACTGAAGTACAAAATTTATGGAATGAAAATATGGTTATACTGGACACTGCAAAAAGATATGGCTATGAAGTGGTTGACAC